CCCAGCCGGTGGAGAGGAGCCTCTTCAAGCTGGTTGCGACCGTGTCCTCCAAGGTACCGCGGCCCTGCCGCCGGGACTGGTGTAGGCCGGGGCCGCGCCTCGGGCGGGCGGGGGCGGTTTGATGCAGCCGGGACATTTTGTTGTACCCCCCGACGGGGCTTTTGAAAGCAGCAAGCTTTCTCCAGGTGTACAGCGCTGCCCCACGGGGGCCTTTCAGGATGTTTTGTGGATGCGAAGTTCCCGCTGGTAGCCTGGAGAACGGCGTCTCGCTGCGAGGTGCCGTCCTGGTCCTGATACGCACGGGGACGCGCTCGTCAGTACTGCCCGCTTGCGCAGCAGCAGCATCATACCTGCGTGCAGAGCTGGCTGTTAGTTCAGGTTGTTAGTTAAGGAACACAGCGCAGTGACCACCGTGAAAAGCCGCGTTCGGCACTGACTTTTCTACACTTATATACTGTTCTTCACTCCTAGGCTACAGAATAGTCACTAAGCGAAGCCTGAATTTCTGCGGTTTGAGGTGCTGAAACTCAGCCCTACAAGCTTAACAACTTTCATCTGCTGTACAGCCTTTTATGTTGAATAAAACTGGTCTTTCTTGGGAACTGGTCTTTGTAGGAGACTGTAAAGGATATCGTGCTTAAACTTAGGACTATCGCAGTCTTCTAAAGGCATGTGTTTTTGTTTGGAGGGTTATTCCGTGCCACAAAGTATATTGTCAAAAAATCAAATTGAAGCAGTCATACAATTTACAAACATTTTATCCTTTTTTTCCCCACATCCTGAGGATATTATGGCAGTTTTGTTGCTTAAAGCAGTAGTAGAAGTTAACTCAAACATTGGTACTGCAGTTCTCAAAAAGGAAGCGCCAGTAATAGTAGTTATTAATCATTGCTAGTAAGGAATATGACTTACTATGTTGATGGTGTCTTTTTTATTCCCCCTCCTTTTTGTTTCTTTACTCAGAACGAACCAGTTCAGAAATACGTTCAAGGAGCGATCACTCAAGACAAAGCAGCTCAAAGTCTGCGACCCTCTTTAGGAAGCACTCAGCGAATCATTCAGGAACTCCGTTCTTACAAGCAAGTGAAAAGGAAGGAAAACCGTTATCGTGTAATAGCCAGCCATCGACCTAACTGTACTGAAACAGTTGCAGCTGGCATAAATGGCGAGGCATCAATTGATGGTGACGGATCAGACTCTGAAGCAGTGGAAGATGCTTCACAAAAGGAGGGCGGTGCTGTCGATAAGAGTTCGGACTGCTGTGGGAAATTCCAGTTGTTTGATATTGAACAAGAGGAGGAGGTGGAAGACTCCAGCGTAACTGCTGCAAACCCACAGGTCAGCAAACGAACTTAGTGCACATGAAGTACTTGTATATCACTGTTGACTAGTATGTGTGGGCAAACTGACTGCTGTAGAAGTATTTTTGCATTGTAAGTATTCCACTATTTAATAGGAGCTTTAACTAGATATTTGCAAGTTGGAACATTGTACAGGGAGTAACTTTCATGAGGATCCTGAAGTGCACTAATACTGTCGAGACAGACAGCCATGTGGAGTTGGCTGCTACAGGAAGGGCTTGTACCACCGTTTTTTCTGTACCCTGTTCTGATGTATAAATTCTCATATTCATCTGTCAGGTGGATCTCTGAGGATTTTGATTAACTTCTCTACCTGGAAAAGTGTCACTTGTAGGCAAGATTCACTAAAGGAAAAGACACTTTTGAGCCTCTCGTTCTCAGAATTCCCATATATAGTTTTATTGTGTATTTTATTTTTAGCAGACCTCTAGGTGTCTGACAGGCTGCTTAAGCCCCTGCATCCTGTTTTCATTGGCATTATGAGTTAAGCTTATGGTTTCAGTTGGAGGGGATATCTGCTGAATATCTAGAATGGTTTTAAGTATGAAGAAGCTCTGCCTTCTGTAAGCTTATGGTTTCAGTTGGAGGGGATATCTGCTGAATATCTAGAATGGTTTTAAGTATGAAGAAGCTCTGCCTTCTGTATAGGGTTGCCCTGCATGCAGTGTTACGAAGTTTTTGTATTAAAGAGACTTGTAACCAAATGGAAAAGGTAAGAGGGCTGTGTATGCTTGCTTTAGTAGTTCCTTCACTGTATGTAAGTACACGTGGATGCTTTATATGCAGCCCATCACAGCTCTGAGGAAAACTTAAATGCGTAATGTAAAAGATACTCAGGTAAGGAAGAGCCCAACCAGCTGCAATCCTTCAACATTTCTTACAGGTTATTTGAGGGCTTTGCCATCAAACTTTAGTATGAACTCTTGCTTCCTATTAACCAAGTAGTTCAAGCAGACATTTGAGATCTGTTAGTTAACTGTTACCTGTCACTGCTGATTAGAACAACTGAAACTGAGGTAGCACCAGAATTTTCCTCTTAACTCGTTTAGAGCTAGCAGTAGGTGTTGAAAGCAAGAAGTAAGCTTCCTTTTCATTTCGAACTGAAAAAAAGGCTGGTCTGTATCCTTTCCTTAGAATTATGTAGTTCAGGAGACACCGCTGTGAATTGGAAAAGGTATTCTGAAAAGCTCTAGCAGAGAAAAATTGGCAGCAAAACCTGCTCGTGTAGACCTTCAAGTACAGGTCACTAAAGCAAATACATTGCAAATAATTTATTAGGAAGGAGAAAGCATGAAGAAACTTCTGTCTTAATGTTGAAGTGAGGAATAAAGGAAATAAAAATCGTATCTGTAGGGCCTGTCAGCCTTTTCCTGATAATCTGTCACATTGTCATTGTTTGTCCTGCACACTTTGTATACTGTAATCTGCTTCCATGTTAGCAGTGCTACTGTGCACGCGTCTTTCCTGCAGTGTTGCAAGTTTGCTCTACAAAGCACAGGCTGTCTTAAAATGTGTCTATTCAACCAATGCGTCATCAGAAATAGATTAACAGTTCTATGGAATTACTCATATCCCCTCCAGTAGTTTCAAATGAACTTGTCCCAGAAGTTTTCTCCTGTTATCTGAAACAGGGATGGCTGCACACTAATACAGTAATTGGAAGATTCTTTGGTGTCTTTGTGCTCTAGGTTGCTAATGGTCTGAGTATCAGCATTCCAGTGGGAAAGTGTTACAGTCTAAGATTTCAGAATGTCATCCTTAGCTAGCTGTTGGCTACTGTCTACAAAGAAAACTGTTGGCTGTAACTAAGACTTTGCATGCATGGCTTCAGTGGATTTTTTTAAAACATTTTTCTCAGCAGACAACTGATCCAGATGTGATTCTTTGCAATGCAGTAGAGATGATCCGTGAGCGTTTAAATGTTTCTGAAGATGGTAAAAAAGTAGAACACTGTGAGAAAGAAGATGACTATGTTTATGACATCTACTATATGGAAACATCAGCCCCTGGCTGGATCCAAAATATCCTTTATGTACAGCCCTATAGAGAAGAATATGAACTGGTAAGGATGCGGGAAAACAGATCTTTCTGAAATAGAAAGGACACAAAAAAAACATGCTTCGAGTCCTATCATTAAAAATTGCCATGCTAAGAAAGATCTTTTAAGATACTACACGTATACTCAGTGACTTCTGTGTTAGGCTTTTTGTAACTGCCAGTGCTGTGTTCCTCCAGGTTACTATTGATTCAAGCAAATTCTGATATGGCAATGAAAACTGAAGGGATAGTGCTTATGTACTCAGAAGAATTTGTCTGGCTTCAAATTGCCAAATAAATTTTGGCACACAAATGTAAACTTAAGTGATTCACATCTCATTTGTGACTAGGTGGTAGCAATTAAAATGTAGTTGTAAATACAGTTGGGTAAAAAAAAGGAGCAAGGGGACACACACAACTTTTTCAGTATTTGAGGACTTGACTTTAATCTTAATACGAGATACTTTCTTGTAATGGAATTGCCCTTCAGTGAGTGTGGAGTTAGGAAGTTAAATGTAAGCTCCAGTCTTTTATTGTATAGGTACTGCGACCAATAGACTTGCACAACAGGAACCTGAAGCTTTTTCTTTTCCTTGATCTATTACACTACTGCTGAAGTGAGCAGGATTAATTTAGATATTAACCTTGGCATTTAAATGCTGAAGTGAAATATGTAAATGCATAACTTATCTGCTTTAGGTGCAAAATCAGTTTGCTGTTATGGTGAATATACTGACAAATTATTCTGCTTTGTGCAACTGTTGAATAACTTATACTTGCAGTGATAAGTATCCTATGTTGGAGCAAGTCCAGAGGAGGGCCACGAAGTTGATCAGAGGGCTGGAGCACCTCTCCTATGAGGACAGGCTGAGAGAGTTGGGGTTGTTCAGCCTGGAGAAAAGGCGGCTCCGGGAAGATCTAATTGTGGCCTTCCAGTATCTGAAGGGGCCTACAGGAAAGCTGGTGAGGGACTGTTTATGAGGGAGTGTAGTGACAGGACAAGGGGGAATGGGTTTAAGCTAAAAGAGAGTAGATTTAGATTAGATGTTAGAAAAGTTCTTCACTGTTAAGAGTGGTGAGGCACTGGAACAGGTTGCCCAGAGAAGTTGTGGAGGCCCCATCCCTGGAAGTGTTTAAGACCAGGTTGGATGAGGCTTTGGGCAACGTGGTCTAGTGGAGGGTGTCCCTGCCCGCAGCAGGGGGGTTGGAACTAGATGATCTTTGAGGTCCCTTCCAACCCAAACCATTCTATGATGCCTTGGCTCTTTATGATTGTATAGTATTGTATAGGTGGATGAAAAACTGCGTAATGCTGAGTGTCTATATTTGTAATGAATGTTATGTTTTGTGTTGACATGCAGGTAGATGATGATCATGTTCCAGGGGAAATATATGAAGATGAAGATGATGAAAATGATGAGAATAACTGGCGTAATGATTATCCTGATGAAGATGAATTCTTACCTGAGGAAGATGGTGATGGAGAAAAAGGTATGCCTGTGGAATATTGTTTGCTTTCATGCTGTGCACATATCAATCCCATTCATTTTTACATGCCATTTTTCTAAAAAACCAACTAACTGAACACTGCTGGGGTAGTGTTCTGCTCTTAGAATGGGTTAAATCTGCTTCAAGAAGCATCATCTTTCTTGGAACTACAATGGATCTTAATGTCTTTGCAAAGCCAAAATTAAGAACTTCATTTCAGGCTGATGCACTTGCAAAGGATTACTTGTTTTGAGAAGGGATAGATGACTTGGTTCCATATGCTTGTGAAACACTGCCTCTGCTTTCTTAACTCCCCATCCCAGTGCACTCCAAGAACAATTGAAACCTCACCCAATACAGAAGTTGTTCAGACTTTCTTAATGTGAGATATTCAAAAAGCTGAAAATGTCTGATTAACCTAATTGTTTAACTAAAAAGAAGGGATAATCTAAAAGTGTCAGTGCTCTTCCTTTAGACTCTGAAGAGAGCTTCAGCGATGAGGACCAGTGTTACAGGAGAAGAACATGGAACAAATACCGACAGGAGGTTCTACAGGAATTTGGATACGATGAGATCCAGGATTTGGATTCTGACTAACAGCCCTTTTTTGAAGATGAAATGCATACTGAAGATGAAATTCTACTCTTGCAGTAGAACTGCAAATCCAGACAGCTGCTGATGGCTGTTGATAAGCATGTTGCACTTAAAACCCACAAAAACCACACCAGAACCCTGGAAAACCACTTTCCGGTAAAAGTTGGGACATTGGGACAGTAGGAAACCGATCCACACGTGAATGAGCTTTAAGCTAAATTCTTGCCTGTCTGGCCTTCTGAAATTGATGGTGACTAGCCTGATTCATCCTCATGCGTACTGACTAGGCTTGACTATTAGATACTAGATTGGAATTCCAGTAAATGCTAAAACCTTTTGCTATCTGAGCAGCCAACTTCAGCTGGTAGACAGTAAACAGATTGGTGTGAATGGTGTATCGCCACTTGGCAATACAGATTTTTGTTCCAAGCAAAAGTTACTGTATGCTTTAAAATAAATTTTTCTGCCTGTTCTGTGATGTTGAGGTTCCAAAGGAAGTTGTTTTTTTTTTTTAAAGCATTTGTACCTGTACTGACAATACCTCCACAGTATATATGGAGGTAGCTGGCAGCAGCCCTTCTTGTCATGACTAATGTGTTGGGTTTCACAAGAAGATCAACATGTCTGCTGTGATGGCAAGTGGAAGTCCTGGAAGAAGACACTCTGTCCTAGTGCTTTATACTGTATTTGTTCTTAAGCTTGAAGTTACCTTCATACGTGTTTGAGCATATGAAATGCCTCGACCTGTCCATTTTATTGCTGGATCTTTATCCAGTAATTTTACTCTGGTAAAAATTAAATTGTAAATAAAGAATTTTTGACTAAGCTTTCTTTACTCATTTAAAGATCATAGGAGTTGATACAGCTGAAGCTGTGTCAGCATTTTAACTTGCATTTATCTTTAAAATCATTTAGTCTTGCCTATTTGGACACACAAAGTATTTTAGCTAACAGGATGTTAGATCTAGGTCAGGCATGAGCTGTAGGTTGCAGCAGTGATTTTAAGTCAGTTCTGGCAGATGATGTCAAGGTAGTGGGGGTAAAATATTTTTTCCTTGGTTTCACAGAAAGGTTAATATGGCTGTTCACCTATGACACAATCCTAGCCTGTTAAAGCTATGCTACTCACTGGACAAATGTCTCAACTTAGGTACTAAATTCATTCTAATAATATGCAAGAGCTAGATTATAATAGCTAAATGCTATTTTTCATTAAATACTGAGAAGACCCTACATGTTTGTGTGTCAACTGTGCACAAAGTTCCTCAGCTAGAATTTAACTGTCTTAAGTCCCAACGCTGCTTTGTAAAGGTAGCCCAAGACTCTGTTTATTTGTTAGTTTTCACCATCTACTACTACTTGCCATTATCTGTAGCTTTTTAAGATCATCTCAGTCAGAGGCTCAGTACAAGAATCCACATATTCTCACTATTATTCAAATGGCTGATGCAAACGTGATGCAGCATTTTAAGTGTGCATTGCTTCAGCCATATTCTGGTGATTACTAGATTTAGTTAAATACACAAGAAAATGCACATATGGACGAACTGAACTAAGATAAAAGTTCCAGGTATGTTTTCAAAGTATCTCTCACTCTACTAGCCAAACAGGCTGGCTTCACGTTACCTTTTGCTGCCCCAAAATTCAGTATCAAAGTGTCTTGATGTTAGGTTTACAGCTTATGGCGCTGGAATTACAAATAGTACTAATTAGCATCAGTCTGTATTGTAGTATTACCTTTTCTTTCTGTTTTTATTCCTGTTTTCTTTTCCTGCTATTTAGCTTTCAAGATACAGTTCCTGCCACACAACTTCTGCTATAGAAGAAAAAAAGAAAGTGGTTTGTTCTGTCATTTTCTAGTCAACAGCACTGAAATTCAGAAGGAATTTTCTGATTGCTGAGGTAACGCTGCTAATGTGTGTTCACTAAAACAGTTCAGAAACAAATGCTTACAAGCTTCAAACAATGTTTTAATTCTGGAAGTTTCATAAAGCCTGTCAGTTGACCAAGTACTAACAAGCTAAAAGGAAAAAATCATCAAATGATAATCAAATCTTCAGTGCCAAGGTGCTTTGTTGATTAAATCCTTGTCACAGTCAGATACCACATTTCCACATACCATAGAGAATAAAATACTTATCTTTAAGGGAGAAAGGTTGGTTCTGTCTTTAAATAATGTAGCTCAACTTTATTCATTTTTCTGCTAATAATGACAAATTAGGTAGGTTGTTGTGACGAGTTGTCTTCTGGGATAAGAACTGAGATAGCACAGCAAATCACTTCATGCAAACATCCATCAGAATTAAGCTGGGAATGACTTCTGGTCGTTCAGTTTAACTTAAAAATGCATTACTTCACTGCCTGGTTCTGCAGAAATCTAATTTGATCCATTAGCTCTTACCATTTTAATACCAATTCTGAAGAAGGAACAGTATTGACGCATAGCTTGCATGCCTGAAAAGAGCAGGTAATCATTATCCCATGAAAACGTGCCATAAAAATATGCCACAGTTTAGGAGGGTGACGCGAGGGCACAATCTATGCGAGAATCCAACTGCAAGTAAGTACATTTTCAGTATTTCTGAAAGACCACTGGAAACAGTTTTTTCCATTTTTTCCCAGTTCCATCTCTTCCCTTTTGTTGTCGTAATTGCTTTATCCTCCCTCCTGTTTCTTATAATGGCTTTGAAATTTTAGTTGGATTTGATTTCTAACTTCTTTTCTTCATTTGTGTCCATCTCCGTTAAAACACAGTAACAGAGCAGCTGCATGTTTCGTGTGACTGCACCTGCACAGGAAATTGGAGATAAATCAGAAGAATAGCCACCTGTCTCAACTCTAATTACACAACATGCATCTGACTAATGAAAGTTAGTTGTAAGAACGCCGCGTCGCTTCTCTTAAGGGAAATAAACGATAAAAAAAAAATGCAAAAAGTGTCTTCCACTTAATTTTTAAATAGATGTTTAATACTGTTCTGTTGATATCCTAGGGTATTTTTCTTCTTAGGCACCCCACCAACTAACAGAAGTACAATCTTTCTTCTCTATAAGTGTAAAATTGGTAGAATAAAAAAAAAACCCACAACCAAAACATGAACTTCAAATAGTACATAGGAATGTGACAAGATTACTGAGTATTTACATATTCACTAGCTGCTGCAGCACCACATCCTGTTGCATTCTAAGATTATGCTATAAACCTTCCTTTCCACATCCTTCATCATGTTTTTCTCACATAGTTAACAATAACAACAGTGCACTGCTGGAGAGAAACGTGTAATTTATCTGCAGCAATTCAATTGAAGGCAAAATTCCATCTGTGACTGACATAAAATCTATCCAAACAACTGATTTGGTAAGCAAGACAGCTTGCATTACCAAGAATGTCCAGCCCTTTTACAGTCATCAATCTTGCTTAAGAAAGAGAAATGTGTAAAACCTGAGGACAAAATCTGTAGAAAGTGGATGGTCTTTCGCATATACAGCAAATAAAATCTGGGTGTAAAACCAAATACAGAACCAGTATACCCCTTTACTGGGTCTGGCTGGGATGCAGTTAACATCCTTCATAGCAGCCCATATGGTGCTGTGTTTTGGATTTGTGGCTCAAACAGGGTTGGTAACACACTGTTATTTTGGCTATTGCCGACCAGTGTTTGCACAGTATCAAATTTTTTTTTTTCCTTCCACTCTGCCCTCCCTGCAACCAGATGAGCAGGAAGTTTGGAGAGGACATGGCCAGAACAACTGACCCAAACTAAGCAAAGGTTATTTCATGCCATATAATGTCATGCTCAGCAATAAAAACTGGGGTAGAGGAAGAAGTGCATGCATGTGGGAGGATGTCTTCTAAGGTGGCCGTTGCTTGGAGACTGGCTGTGCAACGGTCTGCTTGTGGGAGGTGGTGATTGCCTTTGCATCACTTGTTCCCCCCCCACCCCTTTCCTTCACTCATTAAACTGTCTTTATCTTGACCAGTAAGTTTGCTTGCCTTTGTTCTTCCTACTCTCTCCACCATCCTGCTGGGGGGTTCTGGTGAGCGAGCGGCTCTGTGGGTGCTTAGCTACTGACTGGGGTCAACTGACCACAACAACCAAGAATTACTTCCTTAAGGTTAATCTTTCCTAACAACATCTCCACAAACAAAGAAACTTACACAAAATCTTGTTGATAAACTGAGGTCTCCTTGATGCAGGTAAATAAACTCCCAGGAAAAAGACTGGAATTCCAGATAAAGCAATGGCAATTCCAATCAATGAATTTATGGTGTCACTATAGAGTGGCACTACCACCAGAAATACTGTGCATATACAGAATATTATTGGGAAAGCCACGCTCAGCTGCAGACAGAAAAAATAGAATGTTACTGAAATACTTCTTGTATACAGTTACAAACATTTTGGTGAGAATTACAGACTTTTCTCTCTCAACCCCACTTTATGAAATTATCTGCTTTTCATCTTATACATCTGGCTATTTGCAACCGTAAGCAAATTGCAGAATTTTTCTTGAATAGAACTGCCGCTAAAAGTAATCAAGTATGGTAACTCTGCTGTGTTGAAAGAAACTGTGTAACAGCATAAAATGTTTTTAGACAAATCCAATAAAACTCAGGATAAATATAATAAACATAATAATAATAACTCAGGATAAATATAATAAACATAATAAATATAATAAACAGAAACATACAATAGAAGACCATATTATTACCACAATCACTTCTTCTTATCTAGCAGACAAGCTAGTTGTCATGGTACAATATAAAATGGAAGCCATGTTTTATGTCCTAATCAATTTGTAACCTTTAGACATAACATGTATGGTCCAGATTTTAGACATTACTTTTACATTACGTGGAAGAGAGGGATTTTAAACAATTCTATAATAAGTAAATACTACCTTAAGAGGCCTGGGTCGATCTGGTTCCTTCCAACGTAGATATAATTGCCCAGCAATAGACAGACCAACAAAAAACCAGTAACTGAAACTGAAGTAATT